ACAATGAGGTTCCCTATGGGCTGGTCTTACTAGAAAGACTTTCTGACAATGAGGTTCCCTATGGGCGGGACTAACTAGAAAGACTTTCTGACAATGAGGTTCCTATGGGCTGGTCTACTAGAAAGACTTTCTGGTTCCCTATGGGCTGGTCTCACTAGAAAGACTTTCTGACAATGAGGTTCCCTATGGGCGGGTCTCACTAGAAAGACTTTCTGACAATGAGGTTCCCTATGTGCTGTTCTCACTAGAAAGACTTTCTGACAATGAGGTTCCCTATGGGCTGGTCTTACTAGAAAGACTTTCTGACAATGAGGTTCCCTATGGGCTGGTCTTACTAGAAAGACTTTCTGACAATGAGGTTCCCTATGGGCTGGTCTTACTAGAAAGACTTTCTGACAATGAGGTTCCCTATGGGCTGGTCTTACTAGAAAGACTTTCTGACAATGAGGTTCCCTCTGTGCTGGTCTTACTAGAAAGACTTTCTGACAATGAGGTTCCCTATGGGCTGGTCTTACTAGAAAGACTTTCTGACAATGAGGTTCCCTATGGGCTGGTCTTACTAGAAAGACTTTCTGACAATGAGGTTCCCTATGGGCTGGTCTTACTAGAAAGACTTTCTGACAATGAGGTTCCCTATTGGCTGGTCTTACTAGAAAGACTTTCTGACAATGAGGTTCCCTATGGGCTGGTCTTACTAGAAAGACTTTCTGACAATGAGGTTCCCTATGGGCTGGTCTTACAAGAAAGACTTTCTGACAATGAGGTTCCCTATGGGCTAGTCTTACTAGAAAGACTTTCTGACAATGAGGTTCCCTATTGGCTGGTCTTACTAGAAAGACTTTCTGACAATCAGGTTTCCTATGGGCTGGTCTCAGTAGAAAGACTTTCTGACAATGAGGTTCCCTATGGGCTGGTCTTACTAGAAAGACTTTCTGACAATGAGGTTCCCTATGGGCTGGTCTTAGTAGAAAGACTTTCTGACAATGAGGTTCCCTATGGGCTGGTCTTACTAGAAAGACTTTCTGACAATGAGGTTCCCTATTGGCTGGTCTTACTAGAAAGACTTTCTGACAATGAGGTTCCCTATGGGCTGGTCTTACTAGAAAGACTTTCTGACAATGAGGTTCCCTATGGGCTGGTCTTACTAGAAAGACTTTCTGACAATGAGGTTCCCTATGGGCTGGTCTTACTAGAAAGACTTTCTGACAATGAGGTTCCCTATGGGCCGGCCTCAGTAGAAAGACTTTCTGACTATGAGGTTCCCTATGGGCTGGTCTCACTAGAAAGAATTGCTGACTATGAGTTTCCCTGTGGACTGGCCTCACTAGAACGAATTCCTGACAATGAGGTTCCCTGTGGACTGGCCTCACTAGAAAGACTTTCTGAGAATGATGTTTCCTATGGGCTGGCCTCACTAGAAAGACTTTCTGAGAATGATGTTTCGTATGGGCTGGCCTCACTAGAAAGACTTTCTGAAGATGAGGTTCCCTATAGGCTGGCCTCACTAAAAGGAATTTCTGACAATGAGGTTCCCTATGGGCTGGTCTTACTAGAAAGACTTTCTGAAGATGATGTTCCCTATGGGCTGGCCTCACTAAAAGGAATTTCTGACAATGAGGTTCCCTATGGGCTGGTCTTACTAGAAAGACTTTCTGACAATGAGGTTTCCTATGGGCTGGTCTTACTAGAAAGACTTTCTGACAATGAGGTTCCCTATGGGCTGGTCTTACTAGAAAGACTTTCTGACAATGAGATTTCCCTATGGGCTGGTCTTACTAGAAAGATTTTCTGACAATGAGGTTCCCTATGGGCTGGTCTTACTAGAAAGACTTTCTGACAATGAGGTTCCATATGGGCTGGTCTTACTAGAAAGACTTTCTGACAATGAGATTTCCCTATGGGCTGGTCTTACTAGAAAGACTTTCTGACAATGAGGTTCCCTATGGGCCGGCCTCAGTAAAAAGATTTTCTGACAATGAGGTTCCCTATGGGCTGGTCTTACTAGAAAGACTTTCTGACAATGAGGTTCCCTATGGGCTGGTCTTACTAGAAAGACTTTCTGACAATGAGGTTCCCTATTGGCTGGTCTTACTAGAAAGACTTTCTGACAATGAGGTTCCCTATGGGCTGGCCTCAGTAGAAAGACTTTCTGACAATGAGGTTCCCTATGGGCTGGCCTCACTAGAAAGACTTTCTGACAATGAGGTTCCCTATGGGCTGGCCTCACTAGAAAGACTTTCTGACAATGAGGTTCCCTATGGGCTGGTCTTACTAGAAAGACTTTCTGACAATGAGGTTCCCTATGGGCTGGTCTCACTAGACAAGAAGACTTTCTGACAATGAGGTTCCCTATGGGCTGGAATGAAAGACTTTCTGACAATGAGGTATTACTAGAAAGACTTTCTGACAATGAGGTTCCCTATGGGCTGGTCTTACTAGAAAGACTTTCTGACAATGAGGTTCCCTATGTGCTGGTCTTACTAGAAAGACTTTCTGACAATGAGGTTCCCTATGGGCTGGTCTTACTAGAAAGACTTTCTGACAATGAGGTTCCCTATGGGCTGGTCTTACTAGAAAGACTTTCTGACAATGAGGTTCCCTATGGGCTGGTCTTACTAGAAAGACTTTCTGACAATGAGGTTCCCTATGGGCTGGTCTTACTAGAAAGACTTTCTGACAATGAGGTTCCCTATGGGCTGGTCTTACTAGAAAGACTTTCTGACAATGAGGTTCCCTATGGGCTGGTCTTACTAGAAAGACTTTCTGACAATGAGGTTCCCTATGGGCTGGTCTTACTAGAAAGACTTTCTGACAATGAGGTTCCCTATGGACTTTCTGACAATGAGGTTCCCTATGGGCTGGTCTTACTAGAAAGACTTTCTGACAATGAGGTTCCCTATGGGCTGGTCTTACTAGAAAGACTTTCTGACAATGAGGTTCCCTATGGGCTGGCCTCAGTAGAAAGGCTTTCTGACAATGATGTTCCCTCTATAGGGTGGTCTTACTAGAAAGGCTTTCTGACAATGAGGTTCCCTATGGGCTGGTCTTAGTAGAAAGACTTTCTGACAATGAGGTTCCCTATGGGCTGGTCTTACTAGAAAGACTTTCTGACAATGAGGGTTCCCTATTGGCTGGTCTTATTAGAAAGACTTTCTGACAATGAGGTTCCCTATGTGCTGGTCTTACTAGAAAGACTTTCTGACAATGAGGTTCCCTATGGGCTGGTCTTACTAGAAAGACTTTCTGACAATGAGGTTCCCTATGGGCTGGTCTTACTAGAAAGACTTTCTGACAATGAGGTTCCCTATGGGCCGGCCTCAGTAGAAAGACTTTCTGACTATGAGGTTCCCTATGGGCTGGTCTCACTAGAAAGAATTGCTGACTATGAGTTTCCCTGTGGACTGGCCTCACTAGAACGAATTCGTGACAATGAGGTTCCCTGTGGACTGGCCTCACTAGAAAGACTTTCTGAGAATGATGTTTCCTATGGGCTGGCCTCACTAGAAAGACTTTCTGAGAATGATGTTTCGTATGGGCTGGCCTCACTAGAAAGACTTTCTGAAGATGAGGTTCCCTATAGGCTGGCCTCACTAAAAGGAATTTCTGACAATGAGGTTCCCTATGGGCTGGTCTTACTAGAAAGACTTTCTGAAGATGATGTTCCCTATGGGCTGGCCTCACTAAAAGGAATTTCTGACAATGAGGTTCCCTATGGGCTGGTCTTACTAGAAAGACTTTCTGACAATGAGGTTTCCTATGGGCTGGTCTTACTAGAAAGACTTTCTGACAATGAGGTTCCGTATGGGCTGGTCTTACTAGAAAGACTTTCTGACAATGAGATTTCTCTATGAGCTGGTCTTACTAGAAAGACTTTCTGACAATGAGGTTCCGTATGGGCTGGTCTTACTAGAAAGAATTTCTGACAATGAGATTTCTCTATGAGCTGGTCTTACTAGAAAGACTTTCTGACAATGAGATTTCCCTATGGGCTGGTCTTACTAGAAAGATTTTCTGACAATGAGGTTCCCTATGGGCCGGCCTCAGTAAAAAGACTTTCTGAAGATGAGGTTCCGTATAGGCTGGCCTCACTAAAAGGAATTTCTGACAATGAGGTTCCCTATGGGCTGGTCTTACTAGAAAGACTTTCTGAAGATGATGTTCCCTATGGGCTGGCCTCACTAGAAAGACTTTCTGACAATGAGGTTCCCTATGGGCTGGCCTCATTAGAAAGACTTTCTGACTATGAGGTTCCCTATGGGCTGGTCTTACTAGAAAGTCTTTCTGACAATGAGGTTCCCTATGGGCTGGTCTCACTAGAAAGAATTGCTGACTATGAGGTTCCCTGTGGACTGGCCTCACTAATAAGAATTCCTAACAATGAGGTTCCCTATGGGCTGGTCTTACTAGAAAGACTTTCTGACTATGAGGTTCCCTATGTGCTGGTCTTACTAGAAAGACTTTCTGACAATGAGGTTCCCTATGGGCTGGTCTTACTAGAAAGACTTTCTGACAATGAGGTTCCCTATGGGCTGGTCTTACTAGAAAGACTTTCTGACAATGAGGTTCCCTATGGGCTGGTCTTACTAGAAAGACTTTCTGACAATGAGGTTCCCTATGGGCTGGTCATACTAGAAAAACTTTCTGACAATGAGGTTCCCTATGGGCTAGTCTTACTAGAAAGACTTTCTGACAATGAGGTTCCCTATTGGCTGGTCTTACTAGAAAGACTTTCTGACAATGAGGTTTCCTATGGGCTGGTCTTAGTAGAAAGACTTTCTGACAATGAGGTTCCCTATGGGCTGGTCTTACTAGAAAGACTTTCTGACAATGAGGTTTCCTATGGGCTGGTCTTACTAGAAAGACTTTCTGACAATGAGGTTTCCTATGGGCTGGTCTTACTAGAAAGACTTTCTGACAATGAGGTTTCCTATGGGCTGGTCTTACTAGAAAGACTTTCTGACAATGAGGTTTCCTATGGGGTTTCATTGACCTGTACTTACCGACAAGTTTACTAATTTTTAGATGTGATTCTGGGATGATGACTGGTTGTCTTGACAACACACTTTGATCTTTCTGTTGCTTGTCCTCCTCTGGAATGATTTCATTCTCTTCAATAAATAATCTTTTTAAGACACCACAGGCTTCAACTGAAATAAAAATAGTGGTAACGATGTAATGACCTCAGTGACATACATTGTTGATATCATAGTGTTAACGATGTAATGACCTCAGTGACATACATTGTTGATATCATAGTGTTAACGATGTAATGAACTCAGTGACATACATTGCTGATATCATAATGTTAATGATGTAATGACCTCAGTGACATACATTGTTGATATCATAGTGTTAACAATGTAATGACCTCTGAATGGATCTTCACATCTAGGTGAGCCTATTAATCAACAATAATAAAAATGCTAAATAAATTTGGTATTATTAATTCAGCAGTTACCATTGGGCTTCAGTCGCATAATATTGTTTGACAAGATGTCGTTGTGCTCCGTCTTCAGAAGGTAGGGTACTAATTGGCCAGGATCTTGGCATGATTTCTCTTTGTCTCGCACCAGGCAGAAGACACCATTCTGTTGTTGTACAAGCTCAGTCAAAATCTGACCGTTTGATGGGTAAACAAGGACAAACTGGTCAGAGTTATTGATATCCTGTTTACAGAGATAGTAAGATTCCGAGTCACCCATCCTGGAATCCAACTTGGCAATTGCACAGGATGTCCTGAAAAGTTTTCAAATGACTAAAAAGGCTTCCAAGAAATAAAGGTATCATTAAATCTGATTAGCTTCCCAATAAGACTTTCTCTGATTGGTTCCCTCTAATGAGTCACACTCTCTGATTGGCATTCCCTAATAAGACTTCCTCTGATTGACTCCTTCTAATGATTCACACTCATTGATTGGCCTTTTCAAATAAGAATCTCTCTGATTGGTTCCCTCTAATGAGTCACACTCTCTGATTGGCTTCCCTTAATGAGTCATGCCCTGACTTGATCTCCGTAATAAGACTCTCTGATAAGCTCCCATTTAAAGGACTTTCTTTAATTGGCTCCCTCTAATGAAAATTGTTAGGTATTAATCTTGTATCTGATTACAATCTGATCATTTTTTTTTTATTTCTCTCTCTGGATTGCTGCCCTATTAGTCTCGAAGACACAAGTGATTTGATTTCTCTATCCGGATTGCTGCCTTATTAGTCTCTCAGATACAAGTCATTTGATTTCTCTATCTGGATTGCTGCCCTATTAGTCTCTAAGACACAAGTGATTTGATTTCTCTATCTTGATTGCTGCCCTGTTAGTCTCTCAGACAAAAGTGATTTACTTACTCAATTGGTCCATGTGATTTGATTTTTCTGAGTGACAGTATAGACAGTGGTTCCATTTTACAGCACAAACTTAAGTAAAAGTCATGAATAAGGCGGTAGTATCCATCCAAGCATGACACAAAGGACTCCGCTAACTCGGAACTCTCAAACTCTAGTACCTGATAGAGAGGACAGAAAGGAAGATCAGTCAGTATATAACAGACAAGGGAGATCAGTCAGTATATAACAGACAAGGGAGATCAGTCAGTATATCAAAGACAGGGGAGATCAGTCAGTATATCACAGACAGGGGAGATCAGTCAGTATATAACAGACAAGGGAGATCAGTCAGTATATAACAGACAAGGGAGATCAGTCAGTATATCACAGACAGGGGAGATCAGTCAGTATATAACAGACAAGGGACATCAGTCAGTATATAACAGACAAGGGAGATCAGTCAGTATATCACAATGAAGGGAGATCAGTCAGTATATAACAGACAGGGGAGATCAGTCAGTATATAACAGACAGGGGAGATCAGTCAGTATATAACAGGCAGGGGAGATCAGTCAGTATATTACAGACAGGGGAAATCAGTCAGTATATCACAGACAAGGGAGATCAGTCTGTACATCACAGACAGGGGAGATCAGTCAGTATATAACAGACAAGGGAGATCAGTCAGTATATCATAGACGAGGGAGATCAGTCTGTACATCACAGACAGGAGAGATCAGCCAGTACATAACAGACAGGGGAGATCAGTCAGTGGTAGCAGTACACAGTTTCTCGGTGTGGCCATTGGTGATTTTTTTGCTCATTAGATTACCCCATTATAAAGGTTTTAATTAAAAATGAAAAAAAAATCCTTGCTAAAATTGGTCCTGTTATGTTAAAGTGGACAATGTGGGGTTTCATTTTTTTCAGGATAATATTTTAGCTTTGTGTTGGAGATTACTATTTGGGCAGTCTCGAATATGTGTCTACCCACAAAAACTAGCTTTACAGGAAGTGAAATTTTCATAGTGTTTACATGTGGTCATGTTATGAAGAATTTACGAGTTGGAATTTGCTGAAATGTAAGTACTTTGTTACCATGACAGTGTTGTTGATTGTAAGATAGGTGATTAGAATTAAATTTCTCCTAGAAAGTTGTAGTGTTGGATTGGAATTAGCAGTATTTTTGCATTTTTAGCATTTTTTCAGTAGGTAACCATGACAATCAAATGTCAGAAATCAGAGGAATTTTTTTTTTACACAAATTTCATCTCTCTACTGTTAATGTAATTGTTATACAGTTTATAAATATATATACATGTAATGATGTATTTTTCATAACCAATCTGCTATACCTGTATATCTCAAACATGACAAATAATTTCAGGAAAAATGCAAATTAACTGTTTACTGCTACCTTATAGCACATTAAAAAAATTGTTCTATTTAAAATGTGCTTTACTATGTTTAATTAAGTTTAATCCTTTCCATAATTGCTATAAATACATAAAAAACACACTGAAACTTGTTCATAATGATTTTATTTTAATTTCATCAGGGGTGCATAAAGGGAGGTAATTTGGGTGCTCTTGTGGGTGAGAATTTCAGCTGTTTTCAAAAGGCTTGGTATCAGTTTGAAAACTGTTCTACAGTAGGTAACAGGTATAAAATAAGTCAGTAACAACCTTAGAATGTATTTAGACTGGATTATTGGGCAATTCCAATAGTTTAAGGTGTGGTATCCATGGTAACTAAGAAGGAAAGTATGAGTTTTTGAATTTTGGATAAATTCTCTGTTTTGATGATTTTTATTCAATAATGTGTGTGTATTTCTCATAGATTGGGCATACAATCATGTTAATATTGTCATAAAATTACATTTCCATAGTTACTGCTGTAAAAAAGACTATTTTTCGAACAATATTGCAATGTAATAGGGTTTCTAATATTACACTTGAAGAAGGGTGGGGGGCAGTAAGCATAGGTGTTTGTGATGTCATACACATGACATTTAAGAATATCTTATGTCATATCACTGTTAATTACTTTCGAGAAATGTGTCAGAAGCTAATTTGAAGTTTTTGTTGGATTTCTAGCCTTCACTATGACATCACAGTGCATGGTGAAGCCATCATTAGCAATTGATGACGTCATAGTACTGATGACATCAGCTGTTACCATGACGTCATAACATCAGACTTTATCTTTGTAGTATCAATCTGCTTTTCAGTTATCTAAATTCACAGAAGCACCAACTACTTGATTCAGTTTCAATTGCAACTTTATTCAAGTAAATTTAAGACGTATTGAGGTTTTAATTTTTCAAATTACCTCCCTTTCTTCCTAATTTGAGAGCAGAATTGGTCAAAACACACCATGCGGGAAAATCCATATTACTCGATAGCTATTCGAGATACACAGTAAAGCGATATATCGTTTTGTTCGTGTGATCATTTTCTAGACACTCAGAGGGATTTTAATGAAATTAAAAAAACTAATTGTGATGTATAAGGTAGCAGTACACAGTTTCTCGGTGTGGCCATGGGTGATTTTTTTTGCTCATTAGATTACCCCATTATAAAGGTTTTAATTAAAAATGAAAAAAAAATCCTTGCTAAAATTGGTCCTGTCATGTTAAAGTGGACAATGTGGGGTTTCATTTTTTTCAGGATAATATTTTAGCTTTGTGTTGGAGATTACTATTTGGGCAGTCTCGAATCTGTGTCTACCCACCAAAAACTAGCTTTACAGGAAGTGAAATTTTCATAGTGTTCACATGTGGTCATGTTATGAAGAATTTCCAAGTTGGAATTTGCTGAAATGTAAGTACTTTGTTACCATGACAGTGTTGTTGATTGTAAGATAGGTGATTAGAATTAAATTTCTCCTAGAAAGTTGTAGTGTTGGATTGGAATTAGCAGTATTTTTGCATTTTTAGCATTTTTTCAGTAGGTAACCATGACAATCAAATGTCAGAAATCAGAGGAATTTTTTTTTTTACACAAATTTCATCTCTCTACTGTTAATGTAATTGTTATACAGTTTATAGATATATATACATGTAATGATATATTTTTCATAACCAATCTGCTATACCTGTATATCTCAAACATGACAAATAATTTCAGGAAAAATGCAAATTAACTGTTTACTGCTACCAGTATATAACAGACAAGGGAGATCAGTCAGTATATAACAGACAGGGGAGATCAGTCAGTATATCACAGACAGGGGAGATCAGTCAGTATATAACAGACAGGGGAGATCAGTCAGTATATAACAGACAGGGGAGATCAGTCAGTATATCACAGACAGGGGAGATCAGTCAGTATATAACAGACAGGGGAGATCAGTCAGTATATCATAAGACAGGGGAGATCAGTCAGTATAAAACAGAAAAGGGAGATCAGTCAGTATATCACAGACAGGGGAGATCAGTCAGTATATAACAGACAGGGGAGATCAATCAGTATATAACAGACAAGGGAGATCAGTCAGTATATTACATACAGGAGAGAGGACAACAGGTTGTAGAATATATATTACATACTGGAGACAGGACAACAGGTTGTAGAATATATGTCACATACTGGAGACAGGACAACAGGTTGTAGAGTATATATTACATACAGGAGAGAGGACAACAGGTTGTAGAATATATATTACATACAGGAGACAGGACAACAGGTTGTAGAATATATATTACATACAGGAGAGAGGACAACAGGTTGTAGAATATATATTACATACAGGAGACAGGACAACAGGTTGTAGAGTAGGAGACAGGACAACAGGTTGTAGAATATATATCACATACAGGAGAGAGGACAACAGGTTGTAGAATATATATTACATACAGGAGACAGGACAACAGGTTGTAGAGTATATGTCACATACAGGAGACAGGACAACAGGTTGTAGAATATATATTACATACAGGAGACAGGACAACAGGTTGTAGAGTATATCACATACAGTAGACAGGAGGACAACAGGTTGTAGAATATATATTACATACATGAGAGAGGACAACAGGTTGTAGAGTAGAAGACAGGACAACAGGTTGTAGAGTATATGTTTCATACAGGAGAGAGGACAACAGGTTGTAGAATATATATTACATACAGGAGACAGGACAACAGGTTGTAGAATATATATTACATACAGGAGACAGGACAACGGGTTGTAGAGTATATCACATACAGGAGAGAGGGCAACAGGTTATAGAATATATCACATACTTGAGACAGAACAACAGGTTGTAGAATATATCACATACAGGAGAGAGGACAACAGGTTGTAGAGGACAACATATATATCACATACAGGAGAGAGGACAACAGGTTGTAGATATATATCACATACAGGAGACAGGACAACAGGTTGTAGATATATATACATACAGGAGAGAGGACAACAGGTTGTAGATATATATCACATACAGGAGAGAGGACAACAGGTTGTAGAATATATACATACAGGAGACAGGACAACAGATTGTAGAGTAGGAGACAGGACAACAGGTTGTAGAATATATCACAGGTTGTAGAGTATGTATTACATACAGGAGACAGGACAACAGGTTGTAGAGTAGGAGACAGGACAACAGGTTGTAGAATATATGTCACATACTGGAGACAGGACAACAGGTTGTAGAGTATATGTTTCATACAGGAGACAGGACAACAGGTTGTAGAATATATATTACATACTGGAGACAGGACAACAGGTTGTAGAATATATGTCACATACAGGAAACAGGACAACAGGTTGAAGAGTATATATTACATACAGGAGACAGGACAACAGGTTGTAGAGTATATGTCACATACAGGAGAGAGGACAACAGGTTGTAGAATATATGTCACATACTGGAGACAGGACAACAGGTTGTAGAGTAGGAGACAGGACAACAGGTTGTAGAGTATTATTACATACAGCAGACAGGACAACAGGTTGTAGAATATATGTCATATACTGGAGACAGGACAACAGGTTGTACAAAATATATATCACATACAGGATAGAGGACAACAGGTTGTAGAATATATCACATATAGGAGACAGGACAACAGGTTGTAGAGTATATAATATATACAGGAGACAGGACAACAGGTTTTAGAATATATATTACATACTGGAGAGAGGACAACAGGCTGTAAAATATACCACATACAGG